GTGTGCCTTGGCAGTATTCATCTGTTAGCAGGTGTAGCATTCTGTCAGATAAATGTCACATTGAAGGAATGTTTTGGATTAAACTCTTCTGTCCTGTGCAGGAGGTGCAGACACAGACTGTGTCCCTGTGGTCCTACATTAACAGGTAAATACTCCTCACCCGGACAAAATTGATCATGTGAGGAGCCATTCTGACTGTTTAAATAGGCCCTATTGGGGTTTCTTTCCTGTAGTGTGTTCTATAGGTTTGTGTGCATGTACTCCCCCCACCCCACCCTGCCTGAAACGCCTCCATTGGACTCCTTTGTTTACTTCAGTAACATAGTCACATCGCTACAGTATGTAACCAGTGGTGGCAAAAGTATTCAGATCCTTTTTTGGGGGGGGTAAAAGTACCAATACCACACTGTAAACATTCTCAATTTCAAGTACAGTTCTGCATCAAGACTAGTACTTAAGTAGAAGTATTTAAGTACTATTCGAAAAATGTACTTTAAGTATTAGGAGTGAATGTACACGCGTAATAATCAGACTTCTATTGCCTAGCGCTTCAACACATGTATGAGGTGAGGTAGGCTAAGAGGAGGGACATGTCCGACACATCTCTAAACTGTTGATCAGAGCAGACTGGGCTCTGGTTTCAGACAGAGGGTGAAAAGAGGTGCTGCAGCACAGGCAGTATGAGTTAAATAAAGAGCTTTTTGAACACTAAAGCATGGAGAGATGTCACAGTAGAGACACTAAACACTAAATGATCAGAATATGTCCTCTTCTCTGTCGTCCCCTCACAGCCAGTTTGAGGACTTCACCAACCCTTTCTACGTAGACTACGAGCACCATGTTCTGTATCCGCTGGTGTCCTCCAGACATCTGGAGCTGTGGACCGCATACTACGCCCGCTGGAACCCCCGCATGAGACCCCAGGTACACCAACTCTGTGGGGCTGATGGGATTAAAGCACTGATGGAGATGTTTGGACTCATCATAAGCTATGACAAGTACTATTAGGACCACAGATACTTTTTCGTAAAACCAAAACCTTTTTTCTCTTTATATCATCCTTATCATAAAGTTATCATAGAAATATCTTTACTTTTATTTTATGCTTTTTAATTATACAATTACACCTGTGGTCATATTATACCTTTAAATCTAAATAACCTGTACTCGTAATAATATAATTTTTTTTTCATGTAAATCTTTATTTTGACAGATGATATTGACTTTTTATTCCAGAATGATTCAAGCTTGATTTATATATTAAGTTTTTATCTGGTAATATTATATTTACCTCATTATGTTGTAATAATGAGAAAAATATTGTAAAATGACTTAACTCTGTGTGTGTTGCAGGTGCCGGTGCACCAGACGCTGAAGGAGCTGCTGCTGCTGAGGGGGGAGCTGCAGAGGAGGGTGGATGAGCTGCAGAGAGACGCTACCTCCCACTCCCTGACCTCCTCCTCCGAACACTCCCCCGCACACAGCACGCCACTGCACAGCGCTGTCTGACACACACACACACACACACACAGATAAAGCATGTTTTTGCCCAATTAGCACATGTTTACAATTTTATATTAACATTCCTAAATACATTTCTACAAACAACCCTGATACAACACCTGTGTTTATTATTTATATTATTTAAATGTATCAAGTATTCAGAAAGACCAGCTTCCCCTGCACTGTGGGAACCTTATCACCCACTTCACTGGTGTTTGTGTTTTTGTATGAAGAATTGCTTCTATATTTCTCAGGGCTCAGGAAGTCACATGACTGCCAGTGACTTTTCACACACACTCCTCTCCCTTTACTATGTCAGTGACTGACTGATTAGAATCATTGGTGTGAGCTATGCTAAGCAGAAATAATATGAAAATAATGTTTTTTGGCCAATCAGAGAAGAGGAGAATCACAATGAACCCCACCCCACAGTAAGGACACTGCCTTACTGTGCATGATTTCCTATATTTGTTTTTTTAAATGATTGTTTTATTTGAATTTTTTTTTACTTTCCCTCATCCCCCAAACCACTTTGTCATTTACTGTAAATAATTTCTAGCCAGTGTTTCTCACAAACGAACCGAACCACAGGTGTGTGTGCAGCTGCTCCCAAAGTTTCTGATTGTGAATTTAATCGACTTTAAAGCGACACGATCGTAGGACAGTGTTTTTATAAAGATGAGAAAATTTTAAATATTGAAAATGCCAAGATATTTTTTATTACAGTTCAGAATTGATAATTAAGTTAAATATGATCAAATGTGTGAGATACAAAATACAGATTTTAAGATTAGAGTTTGTGATTCAATTTTAGGTACATTATTTAAGAACAATTGATGACTAAATTCAGTTGTCTAGAAATCTGGTGTAAAAAATCCTATTTATCCCTCAAGTGAAATGTGCTTTATGAAAGATGTATAATGCAGATATCACTGTGAACTAACATGTTCAAGCTTTAAAGTACCTAGTGTACAGTTACAGCAGTTCTGCCAATAATGAACACAATTAATGATCAGCTCTCAACAAAAAAAAGACTGCTGATCACCTTGCCTTTATTTCAAGAGGACACTTCAATTGACAAACAAATCAATGCATTTAAAGAAGACAACTGGATTGAGAACAGTATTACTGAAGTTATTATCCACTGTTAAAGAACAGGGCCCACACTTGATAGAAATGAGCAAGAATCAGGTTCACCACCTCTGACCTGTTTGGTGTTGTTACAGTTTGAAAGATGTCCCTTTTATTCTAATGCGATTTGACTTATACATTTCACTGTGTACGTGTGGCATGCAATTGTACAAATCCTTTTTTATGTAAATTATGTGATGGATTATGAGAAGTTAAACCTCTTAATGAGCCATAATCACTTCTGACATTCCATTTAAAAACAAACAAATCAAAACTCCAGACTCATTCTTTTCTTTTTAAACATTTTATTTTATTGGTTCATATTAGTAAAAAGTTTCCGTAACATATTGCCAGAGACTTATCGTAGTGGAATAAGAGAAAAAGCAGAGTTCACTATTACACTTCAAGCAATGAAGACTGTCCAACATTCAGTTGTCAGGAAGACACAGAGTTCAACACTCGTACGCTCCACCTTACTGTGGTTACAGTATGTAGAGAAAAGCATGCATTTAGTGTATATGAGAGCAGTATGCTGAAGATGTGTTTGTGTTGTATGTTACAGAGGGCCATGCAAAGCCAGCCCTCAGATATCAAATAATGAAAAGCTGTGCTGGGATTTTCTTTGTTTTCTCAAACTGGGACGTGAGGTGGTTGTATTTGGGCGGGCTTTGCATGGCCCGGTGACAGGCACTAGAGTGTACTGCAGGAAGAGGACTCAGGATCTGCATTGTATCAGGACAGACGTGCCTATCTAAACACTCCACAAAGCGAGCTAACTGTAATCCAGGCTTAATTAGTACAATCACTTAAGGAGGCAGTTTTGCATAATTCAAATTGTGTTGCTACGATAACCACATTTATAGATTACGCCTATTGATTTGATATGGCAACGATTTAGAGCTGCATTATGGGATAATACAATTTGGTTATTTATCTAGGGGTAACTAGCAGGGGGCAGCTACAGTGTTTGCAAAGAGAGGTCCTGATTGTATAGTAGTCTGAGAAAATGACCCTACTTTATATAAGATTTATTACCTTAGTAAAACGTTTTCTGATAAGTTTATTCTCTCAATTAATTGTTCCAAATCTTCTTCAATACAGCATGATGTTAGATCTGTATATTGTTATTTTAGCACACTTTGTTATACAGATCCCTAATCCTTTTCAGAGAACACTCCTGGTAACCGATTCCAAACAGCAGTATGGCACATGTTCGAGGATAATTGCTTTAGCTGAATCTTAAAGCAGTATCAACATCCACAGTGGCAATAAAAACTGAGTCATTCGCACATCGTGTTTCAAAGTGAGCATGGCCATTATACGATACCCTTCAATCTAATCAATCACGTTTTATCTTACCGTAAAACCAATTCAAATTAGCGTTACATAAGATCCAAGCCCAGATTCAATTATTTTCTTTCAGGCTTATTCCAAAAACCTTTTTTCATTCAACCCCAATACATAAAGGCAATTTCAATCTCAATCAATGCTGAATCTTTGGTGAATTTGTATTTTTGCTACAGGCCAAAGGTTTTTGCTATATCACAAAAGACATTCAGTAAACAGAAAGGTTTGTCATTTTGCGTTTGCTTTGTGTGAGGTTCAGCTGCCAGAGCTGGACCAAACACTCAGGCCTCTCAGTCCTCTGGGTGCTGCTACCGGACGGTCACTCCAGGTAACCACCCAAAGGAGCTGAAGGCTCTGGGTGTTCCTCTAGCTCAGGTAACAGCTACGGAGGTGTTGGATGAATACTGTGGCGCGTCCCTGTGAGACTGCAGGGTATAAGGCAAAGAGAGGAGCACCATTTGAATTACAGCTGGCAAGGCATGACTCTTGCAAGGTGAAAACATGAGTTTAGGTTTGTTACACCAACCCAGTGATACTCAAATTACGGCCGATAGGGTGGCCCGCCAACCATTCACAAGGGGATATTAAAAAAAGAATTAAAATACACTAATGGCGCTTGTTTACCAAAAAAAGTGCCTCAAACCTCCAAATTGATGTCAAGTCCAAGCACTGAAAACTGTTGAGTCTAAATGGCAATCCTAGCGCATGTCTTAAAAAAACTCTACCACCCCTGTCCTAACCTCAACCGTCCAAGATCAATGCCTTACCTAGACCATCTTGCTACCAATTCGACCTGAGCAAGGTTCAGTTATAAACTGGCCCCTGACCTCCTGTTATTTTGCCAAAGTGGCCCCCATGCAAAGCAAGTTTAGTATCACTGCTCCCAACACTCTTAGTCCATAAACACTTCGTTCCAAAAGCAACTCCAAACCGTGTAAGGTTGCATTTTAGCGGTGTTTTGGACTTCTACAGTAGGAGCAACACAAAGGAACTGTGGGTAGAGGTGTCTTATTTTCCAAGGCAACATTGAGAAGACCAGGGTGTGGCATGTAGGACTGCGCTGCACCCTGTCAAATATCGAACACACCAACGCTTTTTACAGCTCAAACAACACATACTGCCACAGCAAACATCCTTCATGCATTCACCTCTGTAGATACAGATCTATCAGACACTACTCAGGTCATTACCAATCCAACGCCACGTTCATGTCACGCTTTTTTCTACTAGTTTTTTGGGCGTTAACAACTTAACATTGGCTATCTGGTTTGTTTTTAAAAAAGGTGAATTAATTGGTTCTAGGGTACAAAAGACCAACTACTCAATCGCCACCAAGGAACCAATGCGCATTTCAAGAGGCGTGCATGGTTCCAAGCACTAGCTGGATGTGTGGAGATTTGCAATAAGAAGGTAAAGGAAGTTGTAAATCTTCAATTCATCTGTGACATGAACGCAGCATTTTCACCTCCGCCAATGGGGTACTTATTTTGGTTCCGTTTGTTCGACACCGGAATTACAAGAAAACTACCAATCCAATCATGAACCCGTTACAATTTGGAGCAGATCCGAAATCATGGGGTGGATACACAATTATTTTTCCCTTTCATAGGGAAAGGGTCTTGGCGGAGTTCTTGGATCTCCTAGTGCATTCTAGTTCACTGTTTAAATATGGAGATATTTAAAGCCCACTAAATAGGGTTCAATCATTCTCACCAGAGATCCTTAGCAGTGCTATAAAACGACCGACAGACTAAATATCAGACAGTTTAGAAAACAGTGAATGGTTTCAGATGCAGCCCTCGTTCTCGCTCAGGAACTTAAGAGACCTCTTCAGGCGAACAACAAAGCATTGGCAGTACAGAACAAGGAAGCGTTAACTATCTACAAAAATGTTAGGCTAAGTTATTAGGAAAGTTGGGTACAAAGTGTAAAAAGAGCAGGCAAAGAGTGTAAACACACGCATACACTAAAGAGTAAAATATGGAGCATAAATATGCTCTTACAGACTAATAGTACAAACACAGAACTGCTCACAGTAATATGTACAACCATCACAACTTTCCAAAAACACTCCTTATGACGCTATTCAATAATCTAAAGCTAACTACTGCTGCTGACTCCATCTACACGGCTAAAGCAGACTTCTATATTTTTTATGCATATCCTCTTAACCAGTATTGTCTTTGTGCCAACTTCTTCAATCTCTTCTCATGCCAACCGAACCCAGTCATTGGCTATTGGGACACATCGGACAACTTTCACAAATACCTCACTTTCCCACTCTTGTAAAATCTTGTTCCATTGTGGCCATTTTGAAGTCTACCAAAGGCTTCTGTTTGCTTAAAAAAAGGGTTTGCCCAATTATCTAACAGTGCACGCCCATATTCAGACAGTGAATTCAGAGAGCCAGTGGCTGTCAATCATGCCAACCGAACCCAGTCATTGGCTATTGGGACTCAAGCTATAACAGCAGCATTCCTATTGGCCTTCCATTGGGCGCTCAGAACGGGTATGTCTTTACACTTCTGTTTAAAGAATACTAAGGCAATAATTGTAATCGCAATAAAGTGGGAAAAGTTTAGACAATTCTTAAGACTTTTAACACATTTTATATTAATTCAATAATATAATCATGGATTTCTTTATATATAGAATAATATCTCATAACCTTTTGGTGCAGATTATTACCTTTGAATTGGTATATGATAAGGGTATCTAGTTATTGTTGATATTTGTCGAAATCTATTTATGATTGGGCAATAGTTTTTTGGTCTATCAAAAGAGTTTTGTAATAATGTGATGCCACTTTTATACATTCACCGTCCCTGTAGATTTATCATTAATTTAATTTTAAAATGGCCACAATGGGAAAAAGATCAAATGAGTTATTCTGCACACACTGGCACCGCATTGCTAACACAATAAAACACAGTAGGCTACCAACATTATTATCTTCTGAATATAGCAGTTAATCTTGAACAAAAATCACATGTGCCTTTCCACAAGCCTCGCCACATCCTGAACAAAGTGCCAAGGTTATTTATTTTCCTTTTCAAATATCTTCCCCCTAAAGAAAAGAACACGCTGTGCATTTTGAAGCTCTAACTGCAGGGGAACTGATTAAGCTAGCATCGTTTTTTATGCTACATGCTACAAGTCTGGTGAATTTCCTGAACTTTAATCCCACTTTTGATAACAAATCTAATCCCACCGCTCAATTTTTTTTAGCTCATCACAATCATTTCACCATCACTAATTTGGAAAACTAAGCCAGGCTCCCTTCTTTAGGCAGTCATTAAAAGCTACTTGAAAAAAAACGGAATATATTTACACTATAAAAAGTCACAGGTTGTAAGTAGACGGAAATGTTAGGACACCTTTTTTTCCCACTGCAAAAAGATCAAAATCTGAATAAGGCAACTTTGTACATCAGGATAGACAACATGAGGAGAAAGTAGGCTACATGTAGCAACTAATGATGTCACTGCCACATGATGTAAACAGTAGCTACCTGCAGTCAGTTCTATTTCAGTTCTATGAGGTACGTCCCACTAATGGACTTCATTCACTTATAGTGGAGCTCTTGGGAAACTTCAATTAATCATGATATTAAATATAACATTATTATCTCAGAGGATCACCTCATAATGATAATATAGCAAACTGATAATGTAATAAATTAAATAAAAAAATTCACATGTTGTAGGATTAAGAGATTAACATTGGTATTTCATGATAAAACTTGAGTTGTATGAGATTTGCCCCTAGAGTGCCATGTTATTTTTCTATGAGGTAACACTTGCTACTGTTGACTACCTTATCACATTTCACAAGTGATTACATAATCAGTTGCTACGAGGCTTTGAATTTTGGGGAATATTGGTCAAATGGTCTTCATTCACTCTCAGAAACAGTGTGTCTCAAAGCGCTCCCTCGTTCACTCCGGAAACTAGCGGTGGATCACTGACAAATCATTGTCCCAATCAATCAATAAAGTAATCCAGTTCCCTACGCAGTTACTGACTTCCTGCAAACTCAAAGAGGCTCGACACACACCCCAGAGGAGCTTCTTTCCCCATAGTGTAAAAAGATGAACCGCTCTTTAAATTTGTTTTAAGTACATGCTGAAGGCCGGATAACTTGAAACCAACATTGTTAGTGGTGTTCAAACAGCACAATAAATTACTATTTACAGATACATTTGGCAAGATTTGTTACACTTTTGGCCATGTTTTACAGCAGAGAAATAAAAAAAATCTGTTCACATTCAGCTAAAAAGGTCTACAAATCCCAACGTTTATAGCACAGAGCTGCAGGGCAACAAGGACATGCTCCACAACAGTCTATTCTGTAGCATGACTGTGTGTGTGTGTGTGTGTGTATGTGTGTTGGGAGGGGTGTTAGGTGGGGGATGTTTGGACAAATAGCGCATGTAGGTGGTTGACCTTTGTGTGTGTGTGTTCTAGGTTGTGTGTGTCTAAGTGTGTTACACAGCGTTCTCTTCAGTGGGAGGTTCAGCACTGGCAGGCTCCAGGAGAGTCTGTTGGACTGTAAAAACACACATTAGTGGCCTTAATATAATAAAGAGATATTATATTAGACGGTGTATATGTCATAACCTGTGGGTTTCATCTTAACACATTTTTTTAATGTATTGTTAATTTTTATAGTTTTATTATTCTCAAGGTCTTGCAAAAAGATGAGAATGCAATAGTCACAAATAATTCCTTAATAAAACCTTTTACATTTCGAGCCAAATATACATATCTATGGGTTAAAACAATAATATCCCTACCATGTTAATGCCTAATTTGGATGATGTTAATTTCAGTGTTGATGGAGCAGCTACAATGTTAGCATTAGCTTAGCCCTGATCAATCCAAACTCCATTCCGAAAACAAGCGTTTTAAGTTTAGTTGTCGTCTTGCGGACAGATCTGACAAAGCAATGATGGGACAAAGAGACAAAGTAAAAACAAAAAAAGGGTTGTAGCTACATGGCAGGTGCCGACATGTTGTTAGAGGAACTTGCTGTGTAATGTACTGCAGTTGAGTAGCTAGTTAGGATGCTAGCTAGCAGCCTGTAAACTCACATTAGCAGTGCACTTTTTTCCCTGATAAATGTTTGTTTTCTGGCTCGTTTTAGTGGGAAAACTAAGGTGGAGACCAGCCAGGGCTATCTTTGAACTTTGTTAATCTTATTTTGTAATAAATATAAATATAAATCACTATGGTGTAATAACTGGCATCAAAAACGATTTTGTTCCGTGGGCTTTTGTTTTTTTTACACTGTGTTTTGCCTACTGGCTGTCCTGCAATTCAGGTTAATGAGCCATAGTTTTGCTGTTTTTTTCAAAAGAAAAAAAAAAATATATATTACTATATACCTAATACATAATATATATATATATATATATATATATATATGAAAGAGTGTATGGTAAGTGTGAATATAGTGTAGCACTATGTTCTTACCTTGTGGTTCTGTAGCCACCACAGCCTCAGGGTTCTCAGCCTTCACCATGTCAGTATTCAGGCTCTCTGTCACAACACAACAACACCATTAGTTAGCTTCTTCACTTCACTTCATTAGTGAGATATTAGCATGCTAACATTAACTTTGTCAGTTGGTTAAGCTAGCTACAATCCACAGTAACACCTGACAGGGATAGGGATATTTACACGGTATCAGTTATGTACCGTAATTTTCGGACTATAAACCGCGCCTTTTTCCCCATTTTTCGACGCTGCGGTTTATATAACGGTGCGGCTAATCTATGGATTTTTACAGCTAACGGCCAACACCTTTAACTCTATGGGCTCTATGGCCGGTCCGCGGACCCCCACCTTTAAGCGGCGGGTTCCAGCACGAAAAGCTGGAGGCCGGAAAAGAGTGAGACAGGTAGCGCGCAAAAGTAAAAGTGGAACCGAGAGTGGTATGCCGCTGCTGCGGCTTATATTCAGGTGCGCTTTATAGTCCGAAAATTACGGTATATTGGTTAAGCTTCACATGAAGCCCTTTCCTTGGCTTTGCTTGTTTAACAAAACAGTATATTGTGCGGGTCCTAAAACCAAAACAATGAGCTAAAAAGGGCCATTGAGCTATTAGTGTAGTCAAACATTGTGAAACTGGAAATGTTGAATAGTTTATTTTAGAAATAGTAGGGTCCTCAGCACATAGAAACTGCCGGATGCTAACCTTTATAATTATGTTGGGCAATTAGCGCAATTAGCACAATTAGCGTATACAAGAATTAATTAGCTTTATAGCCTATGCAGACAATAGCTCCAGGTGAGCTGATTTTGAGGAAATTGGGTCCATTTTTAAGTTTTAGAGGACACTGGATAGCTGTCCTCTAAACGACAGATAGCTTATACCTTTTTGAATAGGCTTGCTTCAACTCAGTTAAATTTGTACGATATTTGACCGCAATTATTTTAACAATGCAGAACATTTAAATGTACAGGCCAATACACTCACAATAGGACTCTATGAGCTGGCAAATAGACTATAAGGGGAACTTCACCTTTTACATTACACTTTAAACAGTATTATGAGAACATTGATTAAAACAGGTTTAAGTTGTAATGGTACAAACTGATTCCCTCGATAACTAATTGGAAAAAAAGCTAAAAAAATTACACACAAACGAAATAACTCATCTTTTAACATCTGGTGAGAAACAATGCAGATATTTGTATCCACTGATCATGTGACTAGGCCAGCAGCAGTTGTAACACTGGTGAGGTCACTCCCCTGAGGGACTCCACTAATGAGTTTACTGTAAAAGCCTTACGTTGTATGCCGAAGCACAGCTTCTTCTTCTGGTAGGAGATGTAGCTGGTGATTGCTCCCACCAGTGCCATAGCAACCGCGCTAACAATCCCTGCGATGGTGCCCACTTCTGCTGTGGTCTCTGCAAACGCCCACACAGACATTAACACCAACAGACAGTAGAGATGCATTTATGAATAAACACTAGAAGCAGAGAGAACGCACCATTGTTGTCTTCACGGGGGTTGATCTGATCGTCACCACGTCCACCTGTGAAAACACAGCACACAGAAGGGTTAATTTTCTTAGCTACGGAGCTTTACATGGATTTGTTATACATTTGCAGACATTACCTTTGCCTCCATCAGGTTTGTAGGTATCATCTTTACCAACCTCTGCCAGATCATTGTCAGAAATTCCACCTGAAAATAAGTATTTATATTAAATCACTAAATGATAAACTGTCACTGTAAAAGGAAGCTGCATGAAGGCACAGCAAACTCAAAATGTCAAATGTGCACAAAGCTTGATTTATAATTAATTTGCTTTTAAAGGGATATTTCGGATGTTTTTGTAGTGGGGTAAGGATGTCTGTTTCTTTATGCCACCTGCCATCTATTTTAATAGAATCCCATACAAACCCCACTTCAAAACAACCAACTACCTCTTTACATTGTTTTGCTGTATATGATGCAGAAGCTGATGTCATTCCTTGTGTAATGATACTACGTCAGGTGGTGCTCTTTTGTATACTCTTCCATTTGGACATGACAAGAGTCTAAATTGATTCTAATTGATCATATAGAATAGATTAAACAGCAGTTTTCTGCACCTTTCTTTAGTTTTTGTCAATAAATATTCTGGATGTATTACGCTGATATTTATATTAATATTTTAAAGTTTAATTCCAATACAAATAATAAAATATAAATTCAATAACAAATATTTAGAAATGTAAGCAGACATTTGTCTTCATAATAGCCAATTCGTAGATAAATACTGGGTATAAATAAGCATTTTTTAAGTCGACCGCCAGCATAGCTTATTGTATGAGTGAACTAATATTATTATTAGGGCCTATTGTTATTGGAGGAATTCTTATTAGGGCCCGAGCACGGAGCGCTAGGACCC